GCAAAAAAAATCATTTTGGTAGGAGTACTCTAGCGCTGAAGAAATTTTGCCAAATTGATACATAATTATATCTTTCATAATACAGATAATATATTTTTTATTAATATATTTTACAATTGCTTATCTTCCAATTTCGCAAATCTGATTTTAAGCTCAATATTCTCAGTCATTCTCAGTCTCAAATTTGGCAATATATTGTTTTAATAAATTAGCTAATCTGAAATTCATCTATTTCAGATTGCATACTTGTGTAATATAGTATTATTTATATTTTATATGTTAATATTCAAAAATTTTATTATCAGATGCATATCTTACATGAAAAAAATTACAGATGAATATATAAAAATAATTGGCCACTGAGGCACTTTATTGATACAAAAATAATGATACATAATATAAATTACAAAAAAAAAGAAATTTTAATCATCTTGCATTAGAGTAAAAATTGTAGTACTATTTTCTTTTTGTTTTTTTAATATGAAAATAAATGTATGATATAGTAAGGACAAATTTATAATTAATATGTTTCATAAAATTAAAAAGGTTTCTATAAATTTAGTTACAATGCCTATATCTGACAATTGCACAGGAATTTCAGCTGATTGTAAATGAAAATATTTATGAATGTTTGCTTATCTCTAATAAGTATATTCAGATGCAATATATTCCTAGCTACTTATACTTCAACTATTTTAAATTGATCTTTCTCTGATTTAAGGATTTTGCGAACCCAAAACATTTTATTGTTACTTTCTCTCTATAGTTTTATTTCATTATCTATCTTTTCTATTAACTACAGTATAATTGCGAACATTTGACATACATAAACTCAAAGAAAACATCTAAATATTTTAACACATATATAATATCTGGTCATCTTCCCACTTGCCTTTCAACTTTTCTATCATACTAGTAATATTCTATTGTTCTGAAATACTGATAAATGAGGATAATCAACAAAGAAGAATTTTTAATATTGCTCGAATAGACAATAGAATAACTGTTGATTGATAGGTTCTTTCATTTAGCGATTTTGCAAGTTTAGAATTAAAAACTAGGTTAATTCAAATATCTTTCAGAAGAATTAAAACTTCTTTTATTACATCTACGATTTTTTCTTCTGATTCTTTCTAAGATCTATTGTAAATTAATTTATTTTGTATATATTCTAAATGTTATAATTGATAAAACTTATTATGAAATTTTCACACATCTCTTAACTATCATCATAAAAGTAGACACTATTTGCTGAACAAGTTTCTAATATAAAAAATATGTTATATTTATTCTCAAAGAACCTTTAACGAAATTATGGTTACCTACCTTAAATACCTTTTTAGATTTGATAACAACTGCTTGATAACTTCTGATTGATTGCTAATAACTCAGCCAACTAAAATATTCTTTTAGATTAAGCTTTAAATAAATATAGTATTTATTTTGGAATATAATTGTTAATAGAAAACAAAGTATCTTTTCTAAGCTTTTCTTTCAGATCATTTATATTATTATCAATCTGATCTAAGTCAAAAGGAATTTTCTTATCCGTTTTAATTACCCTCATATCATATAAGATACAAATACCTTCAAAGCTAATGTCAAACTATAAAAATATTATGTTAGATTTCAGAAATAAAAAGAAGTTCTTATCATAAAAATAATGTAATCATCAGTGCATATGCGAAGTTATCATCTTTGTATAACTATCACACAGACAAAACTTCATGTGATACTAATAAAATAACATAATAACTCATATCTTAACACACTTCTCAATATGGCAATAACTTTTTCATATAATAGGTTGATAGAGTGAATTACAAAACTGCATAACGGATTATAGCATATACATTCCTTTATTACGTATAAGTATTTATTGGTAAGCGAGTTGAATAGGTAAGTTGAATATAAACAATAAATTAAAAAACAACATGTTTATTCAGGTTTACTTTAGTAAATAATTACATAGTATTATCATATAATAATAAAAGCTAAAATGTTTGCATAAATCTTAATTAACTTGTGGTAGAATTCAGAAAATTTTTAATTAGCGAGAAGAACCTTTCATAAATGTATTGCTAGCAGATTCCATGACTCATTCTACAATTAATTTTAACTGTTTAGGAAACCCAGTAGTTTTCTTTCATTTCAAGATAAATAACAGATGTAGTATTTATTTGACGTTTCTCAGCAGTCATCAAGAATTTATAAATCTTATTATACATTATGGTAGATATATTTATATAGTTAGTTTAGAAAATAAAATAATATTAATATACTAAGATAACGTCAACAGCAAAATAAATGACAAAAAGTTAAAAATTACCTATACCGCTCTTTTAAATGCTACCATTTTCTTACATTTACATCTCTCTAAACTTACATCTAAGTTGGAGAAGAAATAGGAGAAATATGCAAAGCATTTTACGCTAAAATTTTATGTTCATTAGTAAAAATATATAGAATGTGCATTGAAGATCTCAACATTTACAAAATGCATTAGGATAATGCATATATAGACTTTTTTTCGCTTATTTGACTACTCAATAGTTAATATTAAGACCCAAGTAACGTTATATAAATATATTCTATTCAGAATCAGTGGTATTAGAGAGTTTATCACTTTGAAGCAAATATTCATATTAGTAAATGTTATTCTGCTAAATCTTATTTCGCTAAATGTTATAAGAAAAAAAATTGAAATATTTTGGGGATTGATTTATATATAAAATTACTTTGTCGCATAAGTATAGTTTTACAGATAATTTGCAGAGTATCACTATTACATTATATACACTTTAACAAGGATTAAAAACATGCTAATTTATATTGTACATACCTACATGCATTGGCCTTGAGGCATTTTGCATGGCTGAACAATATATTATTTTATTAATACAATATTCAGGATCTAAGTTAAGATCTTATCTGGAAAATTCAGCGCATAAACTCACAATTATCATCTAAGTCTGTAAAATTTACAATAATATCCTTTCCATAAATATGATATATGTATTTTAACAGTGAATTATATATAGGTTTTATTTCTAATAATTTAATCTTATATATCTCATATTCTGAAATTCTGATGAAATATACATAATTATACTTTTTATAAATATTATAATATCTGGGATTCTATAGCTATTTTAATATGTCAAGCTAATATGTATCTCTAACAATTATATAGCCTTGCTGATATAATAATTTCTTAACAAGTATGAATGTTGCAAAGATAATATTACTATAATTGGACTCTCTTTTCATATATCTAACTATTTTTCGCTGAAAAGTAATATTCCAGGAATGTCATTATTCCTCACTACTTTTTAAACTTGTTTTGCCAAAGATTCAGGTCTCTTTTTGTAATTCTTATAAGCTTGCTAGATAACTGTTATACAGAAATTTTTAAAGCCATAATTATAGTAGTATTTAGGAATCAAGAATCCTTAAAATCACTTTATTGATTTTCCTGAATAATACTTCATTATAAATTAAAAGATCTAACCTAGAATAGGCAGATCATGCATAACACCTTTAGCTAATTTCACTAAGCGATCATCTATTATATAATGCAAAAAATAAATTATATTAGTTAAACCAGTTAAACAATTATGATTTTTATTTCATTTTTCAATCTTAACGTAGTATCTTTTGACTAATTAAAATGGTTTAAGTTATTATGTTTTGCATATATAGATGAAATAAATATTTTGCTTCTACTTGTTCAAACTGTGAAAAGGAATCAGGTATATTTTTTCAGAATATAATACCCCCTTCAGTTAGAAGATTTTTCATGTAATATTTCTGACTTTAAGCTTATGAGAAGATGGGTTGGTCCCTTTAGGACTGCTTCTATATGTTTATTAGTCTTGAAATATAAGTTATCCTAATAATGTTTCATCAAGTCTTTAAGCTTAATCTTATATCCATATCTTCGCCATTTACTGAAATATGTCTTTTTTGGTTTTTTATCAGTAATCTCTACTAATTTCCAACAATCAAAATAAATAGCCATTTTGTAACTGTGAATATTAGGTCTGTGAGAACCAATGGCAACTTCTTTCCCTTTGTAGTTATCATAGTATGTTTTGGTTACTCCTTATCTAGATGATCTAAAAAGGCAGAATATATGATAATAGCTTTTATAACCTTCAGTAATCAATGCTTGCAAAGCGTCTTTTACACAAATAGCTCATTGATATAGAGTTTCATACAAACTAATAATAGATAAATTATCATATCTTTTTTCTACCTCAATTATCTTATCAAATTGATCAGGATAAAAAAAATCATAATGGTTTCTAATATATTCAATATCATATTCAGAACGAAGATTGATGGGTTTAAGCACAGATTTATTATAAACTTTATCTAAAATAATATCAATGAATTTATTAGGCCTAGGTCTATTAACAATATTTCCTGACATATTCAATGATTTTATTAATTTTATAGTATTTTTAGTGATTTTAGCTGATTTAAGCAATATTATACTTTAATAAATCTAAATTTATTTTATTTGATTGTTTGGATAGAAAACAGATATTATAATTTTTGATTTGGCTAAATTATATATATTGCCTTCGACTAAAATTTGTATCATATATGATCTCCCTAAATTTCTGCTAGTTCCTCAATAGTTTTAGGAGCTGACAAGTTTTTATAAATCACGAGATGATTGACCAATCAAAAAAAAGCTATCAGGGTGAGAGATAAAGATAAGGTAACAGAGTAGCTTATCTTCCGCAGATTGACAGGAAAAATATTATTTTTTCTGATGGTTGAGTCTGTTCGAGCTTATTAAAAGAATAATTATATAAGATTTTATTTTACTGATATGAATAATATTAGCATCCTGCATTAATTCACAGAACTTTTAACAAGAAATACAATTTATTGATTCTTTATTATTTATGAAATAAAAAAATTGCAAAAGCAATAACTTGTATAAAAATAAAAATTGCAAATATATCGCTGTTACATTTTAGTAATCCTTATTCATCTTTACCAATAATATTATTATAACCACCATTATCCATGACTAAATGGTCTCTACTTGTGACATTAGAAAAAGTTGGTTCAGAATCTTCATCCTCATCATCAGGATTATTAATCTGATATTCACCTGAAAGAATTCAGTGACAAACATTATGTTCGTGATCTTCTAAAAGCTTGATATTCTTAAATGAAATGTTGCATACAGAGCACCACTTTCTTTGCCTAAATTTTATGTCATTATTAGTGAAACTAGTAAGGTTAAAAAAATATTATATTGGATTCCTATACTGCTGAAGGGTTATACGTTTACCTTGAACAATAACGTGAATATTGTTATTATCTGTATCCTTGAAGTGATTCTTGATCTTATCTATTACATGCTGTATTTCATTTACCTCTTCTTTATCTAACACATTATCAACTGACACATCGGGATCTCTAAGTTGCTCAAGTCTCGAATCATCTTGAACGACTTGCACATTTCATAGTTTAATGCCAATGGTATCTATATTCCGAAATGTATCCTGCAATTTTTCTTTGATTGCATCCTTAAGCCTAAGAATACTTTTGTTCTTATTGATGGAAATATCAAAAACAGTTCTAGGAGGTTCTGTAACAATACAATTAAGAGTAATTACGTCCATTTCTTTATACATAAGGAGGCCCATGCTTTCATGCAAATATTTATAACCCAACAGATTCAATTTTTATTAGCCTGCAATGGTAAGAGAATAGCTCATCCAGTCAATTATTATATGATCAACAGACACCTAATGAAAACTCACGTCAAACAATTACTAGTATTTTTTGTAAATAGTCCCATTAATACTAACAATAGCCATGTATAAAGTAAATTCGGGAATAAGGAATAAATACGGAATTTTGGAATAGTGATCTCTCATAAATCAAAGTTGGTTAATTCGTGTAGATCCAAAATACATAGTCACAACATATGCTTTTGTCATCACTATTATCTGTGTTGCAACTACACTTTCACATTTTCTCGTGTTTGCGGAAAAAATAGAGATGCTGGTTAGCATACATAACTTATTTTCGATTATATGTATGTAGCACGAACTGATCATGATTCATTTAGCCACAAATATAAATTCTATAGACTGTCATTACTGAATGAAAATGGCTAATCTGTTCATTTTATTCATTTATTAGTGCTAATGTTTTATTATTTTAATATAGCAGTAGTTGCATGTGTTCTACAGTATTAATTATTACATATATTTTCACTACAAAGACATTAATAATAATATTACAAATAATATCTATTAAAGTTCATTTATCCAATTTTCGAAAATTTCAATGATTTTCTCA